TTGTTTGCTTTTACCAGGGGGCCCTTTTGAGCACATTTATAAAGGTAACAGCAGAGACGGGATTAAAGACGAAGGAGACAAATAAAATCAACAGAATTGAGTACTAGAGAATACAGAAAACAAACAAAAAAGGAGAAGGATAAGCTTTCTGATGAAACATAGGAGTACAAAATTGGGATAAAGGAAGAGATTTGTAAATGCTGAACTGAAGGTGAGGGGGTGGGAATTAGCGGGATCCAGTTCTGATAGTATCAACCTCCGTGTTCTGTAAAAGGGAGGATTATAAACTCATTCTAAGTGTAAATAGCCCGCCTACTTTTTGGCAGTTATTTTCCCTTTAAGACCTGAAACACATGCACTTTATTCATTTCCTTATACTCACTGGTTTTAGAATAGAGAAGTGGGAAACTTTTTTATATTTCTGTAACAACCTTTCATCTAACATATCACAAATTATTCATTTAATTTTCTTTCTCAAAATGTATTTTGGAGAATCTTACTAAAGACTACATAAATTGGCCACTTACTGCTATGAGGATATAGGAAAAACTTTCTCAAGATAAATAATGCCAAATAACTTCACAGACTGGGTCTCTTTACCCCATTTTGTCTTCTTATAAATGGAAACTCCATGAGAGCAATAACTGTCTCTTTTATGTATCTCATCACGGCATAGCAAACATCAATGGTGTCCAATAAATAATAAATGGAATAAAATTCTCAAATAATAAATTCTCATACTATATCCCAATCAATTGCTGCTAGTGATGTAGAAGGTGCACTTAAAACAATAGCAGCACTGAGAATTTAATGTGTTAAGAATAATGCTAAATATTTTACATGCATTATCCAGTTTCACCCTCAAAACTTTCAATTCAAACACATTCACTATCTTCTACTTGATTCATAGCAACCTGTTAGAAAGAACTAATACTATCTTCACTTCAAAGTGAAATAAGTGAAAATTAAAGAGATTAAATATTAAAATTTATATATTCAACTAATATATACAGAACCAATATTCAATTTAAGATTTTTTTTTTTTTTGAGAGACAGTGACAGAAAGGGAGAGGGGAAACAGAGAGAGTTCTTCCATCCACTGGTTCACTCCACAAATGGCCACAGTGGCTGGAATTGGGCTAATCTGAAGCCAGGAGCCAGGAGCTTCTTCTAAGTGTCCCATGTGCATGCAGGGCCCAAGCACTTCAGCCATCTTCCACAGTTTTCCCAGCCCTTCAGCAAGGATCTGGATTAGAAATGGAGCAGCTGAACTCAAATTGGTGACCATAAGGGATGCCGGAGCTGCAGGCAGAGGCTTAACCTACTACACCATGGTGCTTGTGCCACAAGTGAATTTTAATGGACATTTATTTCAAAAATCTAACTAGGCATACTGTATTCTTATGATAATAAATAATTTTTAAAAATGAATTTAAGCAAAATTATATAACATGTCACATGAAATAGAAGTGGTATACACATATATGACTAATATATATTTTCTTATATATATTACTACTTATATATGATATAAACATGATTAATGATATATATATATGCTTCATGAAAATTCTAGAAACTTCAAAGACAACACTGTAATTACTATGCAATTTTAAAGACAAAAGGAATAAACAAAATAGGAATATCAACTAAAATTATATAGGTATTATATTTTATTTTTGAAAAATGATTTATTTATTTAAAAGGCAGAGTGCTAGCAAGAGAGGGACAAATAGAAAGACACAGAGAGATATTTCAACTGCTGGTTCATTCTCCCAAATGGCTGCCAACAGCTAGGGCTGGGTCAAGCCAAAGCTAAGAGCCATGAATTCCATCCCCATTGATGGCAGGGGACCAAGTACATGGCTTTCATTCACTTCCTTCCCAGGTGGATTAGCAGAGTTGGATCAGAACTAGAGCAGCTAGTACCTGAGGTGGCATTCAGATATAGAATGCTGGTGTTGCAAGTGGTGGCATAACCTTCAGTGCCATAATGCTGTTCAAATTTCATTTCTTAGATGATGAACTGAAAATTTTCAAAAACTTAGCTACTTCATGATACTGATCCAAATTAGATGGCAGTTAACAGAGATTCAGAAATATTTTATTAGAAAAGCACTGCAAATCATAACAGTTTGTATTTCTAGTCTATTATTTGAATGTTCCCAAACCATTTTCCAGAACACACCATTTAAAACTCATTCATGTATTTTATTATGTTTCTCACAAGAGATTAATAAGCAGGCAAAAATGAATGCTGTAAATAATCTAATTACAGAAAATAATTACAATAAAACATTTTAAAATCAATTTTATTTATTGCATATTATTGAAGAATTTTTTCTGTTAGAGTAATAGTTTTCTAGGGTTGCCACAAATGAATGATCACAATCAGTGGGTTAAAACAGTAGATATGTGTGGGGTCACTGGTCTAGAGGCAAGCAGTCAAAAATCAAGGTGTCCAACAGTACTGGTTCCTACTGGAGACGCTGATGGAGAATCTCTTCCTGCTTTTCTCCCACATTTTGGTGGATGGTTGCCTGCAATCTGCGGAGTCCCTGGGTTTGTAAGATTTATAATTCCAACTTCTGCCTCCCTCTTCTCATAACAGTCTCCCTATTTCTGTCTCTCTTCTTTTCTCATAGGATTATAGTCACATTGGATTAAGGGCCTGCCTGTTCCAGTGTGGCCTCATTTTAACAATGACAGTATTTCTAAATTCAGATTACAATCAGAAGTTTCTAAGAAGGACATGACTTTTGGGGGAACTCTGTCTAATCCAGTGTAGTCCACTTTCATGTAACAATAAATCGATGAAATAATTGAATTGTTGTTGAATTTGAGGGTGTGTTATTTTTTTTTTCCAACCAGATATTTGCACTGGCACTTAACTTTGGGAATCTGTCTCATTCTTAAATATCTTTTACAAGTGAAGAAAAACTTAGAAAATTCTTTAGGTACGATTCAGGGGATTAACTTAGTTCTATTCTCTTATTTTCATTTTGAGACTACTTCCCTCAGTTCTTAATTCTGATTTTATTATAGGCTTCTTCAAATTTAAAAGTACACATACAGTCAAGCATTTGTCCCTAGAGGTTAAGATACCTGTTAAGACGTCCGTGTCCCAAATCAAGAGTGTTTGGGTTCAATTTCTACCTCTGGCTCCTCAGAACTGAAGGTCCAAGTAATTGGGTTTGTACCACCCATGTGGGACCTGAGTTTCTGGCTTCTAGCTCCTGAATTATTTTGGCCTAGTCCTGGCTGTTTCAGGAATTCGGGGCAATGAAACAGCAGAAATGAGCGCATGTGCTCTCTCTCTAATAAAATTTAAAATAATTAAATAAATCAATCCCATAAATTAAAGTGTCAAACAATCATGGGCACCAAAGTTAAACATGGATGTAGATAAAAATAAGTATGAGGTAAATTCATCCACTTAACTTTTATATATTTTGCCCATATGTTGAATTTCATTCACTTTGATTTACCAATTTAGAATACATAATATGATTTTAAGGATAACTAATAGAATACTTATTTACATGTACTTTAATCAGCATGACTTCCTCCCGACCTCATGTATTCTTTGACTTATTATCTGCTACTCATTTTTCATCATGTTCTCATACCTGATCTCCTTCAGTAGAGCAACTTCCTACTTTTCTAGAACTGTGAACCATTTCTTTGTAGCATTTACCACTCTGTCCCTTTGATATAGACTTTTATGATTTCTTAACTTTCATTCTTCTCCACTAGCCTATTAGCTCCATAGGACAGGTACTGTTGGTCATGTGTACCTAACTTAATTTTGTTTCATGAATGACAATTTCAGTACTTGCTGAAAAGTGAATAAATTAGAAGCGTATATTTACACATAAAAAGGTGACATGTGAATTATGAATCAATCTCATCAATTTGCTAAAATTCTCTACCAAGGACATCTCTCCTGAATAAACATTTTATATTTATTACTTGTTATGTCTAAATAAAAAGCATTAAGAGAGCATTGCATTTTAATATACGGAATAAATCAGACAGCTTTCTATTTCAATAGACTGCTGAATTAGATTGAACAGATCAACTAAAATTCAGGATTAAAATAAGAAAATTTATTATTTACAGAAGGCATTCTGACATATTTTTAAGAGCATTAGAAATGTTATTTTATTTATTTGAGAGGCAGAGAGAGCCAGAGTGAGCAAGCTCTCTCATTTGCTAGTTCATATTCCAAATGTCCACAATGGCCAGGGCTGAGCCAGGCTGATGCCATAAGCTAGGAACTCAAATCAGGTCTCACCTATGGGTGACGGAACCCAGTAACTGGAGAGATCACCACTGCCTTCCAGAGTCCACAATAGCAAGAAGTTTGAACAAGGAGTTGGAGCCAAGAACTGAACCTAGACACTCTCATGTGAGACACAGCTGGCTTAAGTGGACTCTTAAATGTTGTATCAAAAGACTGCTCTTGGGGCCGGCGCCGCAGCTCACTAGGCTAATCCTCCACCTAGCGGCGCCAGCACACCAGGCTCTAGTCCCCGTCGGGGTGCCAGATTCTGTCCCGGTTGCCCCTCTTCCAGGCCAGCTCTCTGCTATGGCCCGGGAAGGCAGTGGAGGATGGCCCAAGTGCTTGGGCCCTGCACCCCATGGGAGACCAGGAGAAGCACCTGGCTCCTGCCTTTGGATCAGCGCGGTGTGCCGGTCGCAGCGCGCCAGCCGTGGCGGCCATTGGAGGGTGAACCAACAGCAAAAGGAAGACCTTTCTCTCTGTCTCTCTCACTATCCACTCCGTCTGTCAAGAAATAAAAAATATAAACAAAAATAAGGGCCGGCGCCGCGGCTCACTAGGCTAATCCTCCACCTAGCGGCGCCGGCACACCGGGTTCTAGTCCCGGTTGGGGCACCGGATTCTGTCCCGGTTGCCCCTCTTCCAGGCCAGCTCTCTGCTTGTGGCCAGGAGTGCAGTGGAGGATGGCCCAGTGCTTGGGCCCTGCACCCCATGGGAGGCCAGGAAAAAGCCCCTGGCTCCTGGCTCCTGCCATCGGATCAGCGCGGTGCGCCGGCCGCAGTGCGCCGGCTGCGGCGGCCATTGGAGGGTGAACCAACGGCAAAGGAAGACCTTTCGCTCTGTCTCTCTCTCTCACTGTCCACTCTGCCTGTCAAAAAATTAAAAAAAAAAAAAAAAAAAGGCTGCTCTTGGGCTATTTTTAAAATGGGCACAATTAAAATTAAAATTAAATAGACTTCAGTGAAACAATTGTCTGCACTTGGGCAATCTTCTGTTGCTTTTCCCAGGCCATTAGCAGGCAGCTGGATAAGAAGTGGAGCAGCTGGGAGTTGAACTGGCATAGGTATGGAATGCTGGCATTGCAGTGCGACTTTATAAACTACGTCAAAATACCAGTCCAAATATTTGAAATTTTCAAACTTGTATAAGGCCTACAGCTAAAAAAACTATAGTGATTAATTATTCAGAAGTAGGAAAATTGAAATTAATTCAATGATCATCACTATTTTAGCTATAAAAAGTCTATTGCAAATCTGACCATTTAAATTCAGAATTTAGGGCATGCAAATATGATTATAATAGTTTCTCTCTTGATAATTTCAGTTTATGTTTTTAGATAGACACGACAGTAGTAGTTGCTTTTTCTAACTTCCCGGTCATAGAAAAAAAATCATACATAATATAAACACATTTTCCAGCCTTGAGATATGTTGTGTTGAATTTCCTGTGTCATGCTCCTATTTCTTAAATTCATTTCTGATAAAAATAATAATGCTAAATGCCATCGATTTCAAAACTATCTCACACTTTAAGCTATCACAAGCTGTTTTGGAATATCACATAAAGAAATGAAGAGAAACTAAAGTTTGAAGATCAGGTGATGGTCACTTCCTCATAATTTGATAGCTGCTCTAAGCTTGGCTGAGCGTCCTCTGGGGTTTTCTTGTACATCTTGATCTTCTGGAGTAAGTACCTTCTTGTTTATCAATTCCCACATTAAAGGAGCTCTTCCTGCAGAGACTTCTTCCTTGTTCTCAGGACCTGAACTCAATTGTGAGGCCTGTACCACCTTCTGTCTAACACTTAAGTTAAACCTTTCTGTCATGCTTATCCCAAGCAAAAATCGTTTGACTATGCGATCTTCTAGTGAATGGAAAGAGAGGGCAACAAGTCGTCCACCAGGTCTCAGAAACTTCTGTGCTGTCTTTAGTCCTGTATAGAGTTCATTGAGCTCATTGTTCACAAATATGCGAAGAGCCTGGAAAGTCTTGGTAGCAATATGGGTAGATCGCTGTAGCAAGTCTTTTCGTGCATAAATAGCAGAGGGAGGAAATGCACCTAGAAAAGATTTTGTAAAAACAGGAAGAGGATAGTTCACATTAATACTTTTCATTAAACATTTTGGGTTTTGTAGTGTGTATGCATAAAAGAATCTAAGAGACTATATTTTCTTATAAAACTATAGCATTTCATTCATACATCGTACTCATATTTCCAAGAATTCTATCAAGGTTTAAAAGGATCTGTCAGAAATATATTTCATAAATCATTTAGTGGAATCAAAGAAAGGAACAGAGAAAGAAAGAAACAAATATTTGAAGAAGTAACAATTCAAACTTCCCAACTTTGGTAAAAAACAACTGATTCAGACCTACAAGAACCTAAAGAAACAACAAATAGAATATACAAAAAAAGGTACCCATGGCACATCATAAACAAACTACTATAAACCAAATCATGAGAACAATAAAGAAAAACAACATAGTATATTAAGGAGAACAAAAATATGATTGACAGCTAATTTCTCACTGGCATAATGGATGTTATAAGACAGTGGGATAACATTGAAGGTATTGAGAATAGAAATATGTTTGTCAACAAGGCTTTATTCATTAAAACTATTCTTCGAAAATTAAGACCCAAATATCTTTTTAAATAAATAAAAACTGAGAATTCATTGCTGACACATGTGCACTGAAGAAATACTAAAGGAAATGCTGTAGGCTGAAATAAAAAGCCAAGTGATAACCTGGAAAGAAAGGAATGAAGAGATAAGTAGTAAATATAATACACACATTACATATATATTCATTCACAGGATTTTATATGATAATATGTACAATGTATGATAATAATAGCACAGAAGATGAGAGTGAGTAAATGGAGCTAAGTGTACTGTTGCAATGTTCCTATATTTTCCTGAAATAAAACTTGCTTATTATGGTACCTAAGGCAAATAATAAATAATATTGCAAAGAAATAAAGCTAACAAGCTTATGGAGAGTAAAAATAGTCTAAAAATTGTTTAACATAAAAGAAAGCAGAACTGAAGGAAAGCAAAACAAAAAGTAACAAGGAAGATAAACAGCAAAGTGAAAGACAATAAATCTGTCAATAATTACATTAAACAAAGTTGTAGAATGTGGGCCTAGCATTGTGGTATAGCAGGATAAGCTGCCATCTGCAATGCCAGCATCCCATATGGGTTCATGTCTCAGCTGTTCCACTTTTGATACAGTTCCTGCTAATGGCCTGGGAAAAGCAGCAGAGAATGGCCCAAGTGCTGAGGCCCTGCGAACCACATGGGAGACCCAGATGAAGCTCCTGGCTTCAGCCTGGCCCAGCCCTGGCTGTTGCAGCCACTTGGAGATTGAACCAGTGGATGAAAGCTCGCTTGCTCACTTTCTCTTTCTCTCTGTCTCTCCTTCTCTCTCTGAGTTTCAAATAAGTAAATAAATAAATATACATACATATATATATATATATATATATACACATACATACATATGAGTGAAAGGCTAGGGCGGGTGCTGTGGCATAGCAGGTAAAGCTGCTGCCTGCAGTGCCGACATCCCATGTGAGCTCTGGTTCTAGTCTCGGCTGCTCCACTTCAGATCCAGCTCTCTGCTAGGGCCTGGGAAAGCAGTACAAGATGGTCCAAATCCTTGTTCTGCACCCATATGGAAGACCTGGAAGAAGCTCCTGGCTCCTGGCTTCAGATTGGCCCAGCTCTGGCCATTGCAGCCAACTGGGGAGTGAATCAACGGATGAAAAACCTCTCTCTCTCTCTCTCTCTCTGCCTCTCTAACTCTGACTTAAAAAAAAAAAAAAAAAAAAAAAAAAAAACTTCCACATGAAATGCTGGGATCCCATATAGGCACTGGTTTGTGTTCAGGCTGTTCCATTTTCAGTCCACCTCTCTGATAATGGCCTGGGAAAAGCAGTGGAAGATGGCCTAAGTGCTTGGGCCCTGCTACCCATGTGGGAGACCTGAACGAAGTTCCTGGTTCCTGGCTTTGGACAGGCTAAGCTCTGGCCGTTGCGGCCACTAGGAGAGTTAATTAGCAGATGGAAGATTTCTCTCTCTTTCTCTGTCTCTCCCTCTCTCTTTGTAACTCTTTAAAATAAATATTTAAAAAGAAAACAAAAAATATATGAATAAATCATTCAATTTAGTAAGACAACCAACTTATTTGAAATATGGACAAAATTTAGAACAGACATTTCATAAAAGGCATAGAAATGACCAATGAATGCATGAAAAGATATTCAATGTTATTAATAGTTACAGTAAACCACAACTAGATACACTATATATCCAATGAAAAGGAAGTGCTGAAATTAAGGGAAATAGATAATCTGAATACACTTAAGTCAGTAATTAAAACTCTATCCAAATGAAAAGTCCAGACCCAGATAACCTTACTGTTGTATTCCTTTACCATTGGTTCACCCTCCAATGGCCACTGCGGCCAGCGCGCTGAGGCCGGCGCACCACGCTGATCTGAAGCCTGGAGCCAGGTGTTTCTCCTGGTCTCCCATGCGGGTGCAGGGCCCAAGCACCTGGGCCATCCTCCACTGCACTCCTGGGCCACAGCAGAGAGCTGGCCTGGAAGAGGAGCAACCGGGAAAGAATCCAGCACCCCGACCGGGACTAGAACCTGGGGTGCCAGCGCCGCAGGCGGAGGATTAGCCCATTGAGCCACGGCGTCGGCCCCTCACTGTTGTATTCTAAAGGAAAGGAAATTACAGACCAATATCTCCTTTGAATATCAATGTTAAAATCTTAAAATACAACCAAATAAAATTTAGCATCTGATTAAAGGAATTACATACCATGGCCAAGTGAAATTTATTCCAGTAATGTAATCATGGTTAAACATATGAAAATTAATCAATGTAATACATCACATCAACAAAACAAAGAAAAGAAAACCCATGGTCATTTGCATTGATGCAGAAAATCTATTTGACAAAATATAGCACTTTTTAAAAAAATTTATTTGTTATACAAGTTTCATATATTTCATATATACAAATTTAGGAACATAGTAGCATTTCCTCTCTACCCATGCTCCAACACTTCCTCCTCTTCTCTCTTGGATTTCCATTCTTGATTTTTACAGTGATCTAATTTCGGTATACTCACTGAACCCCTTGTTAATCCTACTCTAAGTAAAGGAGTTCAACAAATAGTATGAAGAAAATGAAAACAAAATAAAACACTTCCTCAATGGAAGAGACAAGGGCTATAAACAATCATCTATTCTCAAAATGTCTATTTCAGTCCAATATACTACATTTCAGGTGCTCTATTAGTTACAGTGAATATGAAAAATGCTCAATAAAGTAGGAGTAGAAAGAAATTACCTCAACAAAATAAAGGCAATATATGAGAAACTCATAGGTAACATCATACTCAATAGTGACTCTCCTCTAAGATGAGGCACAACACAAGGATACCTGCTTTCACCAATTAAAAATAAATAGATGAGGGTACTTCAAAATATTTGCTGGAAATCTACTGTAAAAGTTTATTTTGGTGTGAAATATTAAAATTGTATATATCAATAGTATTAGAAGTTTCAGTAAGAGCAATTACAAGAAAAGGAAAAACAGGCATTCATTGGACAGAATGAAGTAAAATTACCTCTGTTCCAAGAAGATGATATATGACAATATGAGATTACTTCAAAATGTTTTTGGAAAAAGTAATTAATAGGTAAATTTATTTTGATGTAAAATGTTTTTTTAAACGATTTATTTATTTGAAGGACAGAGTTATAGGGTGAGGTAGAGACAGAGACAGAGGTCTTCCATCCACTGGTTCACTCCCCAGAGTGAACAGCTGGAGCTATGCCGATCCAAAGCCAGGGGCCAGGAGCTTCCTCTGGGTCTCCCATGTGGGTGCAGGGGCCCAAGCACTTGGGCCATCTTCTACTGCTTTCCCAGGCCATAGCAGAGAACCAGATCAGAAGAGGAGCAGCCGCCCCGATGCAAAACTTTTTGAAATCTATTCAGGAGGCTAGCGCTGTGGTGCAGCGGGTTAAAGCCCTGGCCTGAAGTGCCGGCATCCATATGGGTGCCGGATCTAGTCCCAGTTGCTCCTCTTCCAATACAGCTCTCTGCTATGTCCTGGGAAGGCAGTGGAAGATGGCCTAAGTCCTCCCACATGTGAGACCCGGAAGAAGCTCCTGGCTCCTGGCTTCGGATTGGTGTAGCTCTGGCCATTGTGGCCATCTGGGGAGTGAACCAGCATATGGAAGACCTCTGTCTCTACCTTTCTCTGTAACTCTTTCAACTAAATAAAATAAATATTAAAAAAAAAAAAAGAAATCTATGCAGGTCTCAAAACACTCATAGAAAAAGCATATTATGAAAAATTTATGCACCTATTTTGCATGAAACATTCCATTTTTCACAAAGGACTTGAAGTACCTTGTAGAAAATGGCAAAGTTCTCATACACACACACAATCTGTTGGAATTGGGCCTTGCCAATGTCAGAGAGTCATAAATAATGAATATATAAGCTGAAACTTACATTGAGGAATGAATGGTCTTAGAGATGACAGGATAACTCTAATCCATGAAGCTCTTCTCCTAGGGCTTACTGTTTTTTTAGAGAATACTCACTAGGATTATGTGTAGTCAATTTCCTAAAAAGGTTTTCTAGATGGGGTCCTGTCAACCACCTTAGGTCCCATCTTTAGAGATAAGGAGATGGTGAGTCTGCAATAGGTAATGTATTGTGCAAAGCTTCTGGGTGCTACTCTGGGGATCCAAGGCACACAGCCTCCCTTATTTTAGACAAATTAAATTTCCAGGGTTACCCTGCCTGTATACTGGTATTTCGTGTCTGTTATTTACAGGAAGACAGGCTGACAATGCATATTGTGTAAAATGAAAAAAAGAATAAAAGAATATAGAACATCAAATGGTATAGAAATTAAAGTAGTAAGATGAAAATATCAACTGGCAGTGGTACAAACAGAAAGACTAGGAAAAAATCCAACTATGAAAAATTAAGCACCATTTCTCGAATTCTTTTTTTTTTTT